GAGTACATCATGAGAAACGCTGTACTGGATGAAGCACAAGCTGGAATCCAGATTGCCGGGAGAAATATCAATAACCTCAGATATGCAGATGACACCACCCTTATAGCAGAAAGTGAAGAAGAACTAAAGAGCCTCTTGATGAAAGTGAAAGAGGAGAGTAAAAAAGTTGGCTTAAAACTCAACATTCAGAAAACTAAGATCATGGCATCTGGTCCCATCACTTCATGGCAAATAGATGGGGAAACAAAGTGACAGACTTTATTTTTTTAGCCTCCAAAATCACTGCAGATGGTGACCGCAGTCATGAAATTAAAAGACGCTTACTCCTTGGAAGAAAAGTTATGACCAACCCAGACAGCTTACTAAAAAGCAGAGACATTACTTTGTCAACAAAGGTCCGTCTAGTCAAAGCTATGGATTTTCCAGTAGTCATGTACACATGTGAAAGTTGGACTATAAAGAAAGCTGAGCGCCAAAGAATTGATGCTTTTGAACTGTGGTATTGGAGAAGAATCTTGAGAGTCCCTTGGACTACAAGGAGATCCAACCAGTCCATCCTAAAGGAAACTAGTCCTGAATATTCAATAGAAGGACTGATGCTGAAGCTGAAACTCCAATACTTTGGCTACCTGATGCGAAGAACTGACTCATTTGAAAAAGACCCTGATGCTGGGAAAGATTGAAGGTGGGAGGAGAAGGGGATGGCAGAGGATGAGATGGTTGGATGGCATCACCAAAATGATGGACATGAGTTTCAGCCAGCTTCGGGAGTTGGTGATGGACAGGGAGGCCTGGCGCACTGCAGTCCATGGGGTCACAAAGAGTCGGACATGACTGAGTGACTGAACTGAACTGAAAGTCTAGCTATTAGCTATGGAATTGAGGGTTTAAGTCTGAATCTTCTAACACTGAGGTCAGAGCTCCTTCCACTTCCTTTCAAAATCTCCAGAGTTGGAAACATTTAGGAACTATTGGAAGTGTTTTGTAAACTGCTTATCTGTCCTCTGTTAAGATACTGATTTGAACAAGTACTCATTGATTATCTGCTATGTTTGAAAGACCATGAATAAACACAGCAACAGCCTTCAAAGTTGCAGTGGAAAATGGGGAGGTAAGGTGGGGCGGGGAAAGAAGGAGAATAAAACAAATCAAGAAATAAGTATAATATACAGTAGAATATTGATAAATGTAGTAGGGGAAGCACAAAATGCTTTAAAATTTTCAAGGAAGACATGAGCTCTTGAAATAAGGGCCCTAAGGCCAGACTCCTTTGACTCCTTTGAGGCTAAGGCAGGTTTCCAAGAAGAGAAGCAACAAAAACTCAAGGCTGTAGGCTGCTCACACAACTGTCAGAAACTTTAAGAGAATCCAATCGTGTTTGATAGTGTCAGATCTCATTATTCTCCAAAGCTTCTCTCCTCTCTTCAGCCAAGAAAAAAAAACTTGCTCTGGAATCTTGAAAAATTAGATGCTGAGTAGAAGCCACACAGGCTATATAGGCATCTCTGGAGCCAATCATTACTTTCAAAGCTTATTTAATCTTTTTTAAAAAAAAAAAACACAATGCCTAACAAAATAATGATCAATTTTTATGAAGACTGTTTGAAATCCATGAACAGTTTTTGAAAGCATACTTGTAGTTCTACTGAGAAAATATCCTTTGACAGTTTCCCAGTTGTCTATTTCCATAATGAGTCACATTTTTGGGGATTTTATCCTAGTATTTTCACCAGTTCCTCATCCTTCTTCATCCACTCTTGAGTAGTTTGTTCCAGGACTATTTTCTGGCTGATTTAAAATTTCTCTGGATTGGTAGAGAGGTTCCTTTTTGGTTTTCAATGTATTTTCTAAATTTAAAAAATGATCATGTATTACTTTTCAAATCAGGAAAATTTCCAATGAACATTCTAAAAAGTTAGTTTAAACCTTGTACAAGTGACTCCATTTATGTAAAGTTCAAACACAGGCTAAACTAGTCTAAGGGTATCAGAGTGCTGCTTAGTGGGGGTGGTGACTGCAAGAGCTGATAACGTGCTCATTTCTTTTTTATATAATTTTATCTATTATTTTTTAAATTTTTGGCTGTACTGGGTCTTCGCTGCTGCACAGGCTTTTCTCTAGTTGCAGAGAGCAGTAATGCATGGCTTTCTCACTGGGCTGGCTTCTCTTGCATCAGAGCGCGAGAAGGTCTAGGTGAGCAGGCCTCAGTAGCTGCGGCATCTGGCCTCTAGAGCGCAGGCCCAACAGCTGTGGCACAGGGCTTGGTTGTTCCACAGTAGGTGGGATCGTCCCAGACCAGGGATCGAACCCGTGTCTCCTGCACTGGCAGGCAGACTCTTTACTGCTGAGCCACCAAGGAAGCCCACTTTCTCATTTCTCGTCTGGGTGCTGGCTGCAAGGGTATATGTTTATGAAAATTATCTGAACTACAGACTTAGCATTTGTGCTTTTTTCTGTACGTATATTTTTTTTTAAGTTTACTTAAAAGATAAAAAAAGACAGGGGCTCTCCAAGGGTATAATGATAAGAGACACTATATATATATTTGCATGGGTCATCATTTAGTAGAGAATTAGGTTCTTCAGCTGCCTGGTTACTTTTACAAGCGTGTTCAGGCCATCCTTGGTATAGGCTATTGGATAGAGATCTTGGAAGTCTGTTGTGATCTGCAAGTCTGCCTGGGCACAGGTATAAATCGAGCAGGCAGTAAGTCTAGTCTGTAGGAGGCCCCCGGCTGGTAAGTGGGTTTACACAGAACTGCCATTTCATCTCCATTTCATCCCACTCCTTACTGACGTTCAGGAAGCGATTTATAAAGAGAAAGAAAGAAAAAAGTCAACCATAATGGCAGAGAAGAAATCTAAGATTTCTAAAGAGAAGAAATCTTTGTTCTTATTCAAAAAATAGCTTTGGATAAAGAGTAAAATGCTGAACACTACAACACTTGGTCTATGAACCACTGGACCCATATGCTCCATTATAGAAACAAGAGATCTATGGAAATGTTTCTGGAAGTACCCCAGGCTAAACTTATTCAATTAACTTTATATTAATACATATAGTTGACTGTATATTTATTTAATCATTAAGGTCTGACCTGGATACTTCATTTCTATTATCCTTTTCAATATCTTACAAGAATCAGGGGTTGGGGAGAGGTGACTGCTGTTACCGTGAGGCCATGGTAATACATCTGTGTGAAAGCTTGAATACAAACATTTTTTAAAGAAAAAAAATATCTTACAGAAGACATTAGATAGTGGAGTGTTATTTATAGATTTGGAGAATCTCAAAGATCTTTGGATTTTTTTCAGAATGTCAATGATCTCTTTTAATTGTTTAATCATCTTCAATACCACAGAAAACAAAAGCAGAAAGACAGGTAACTTAGATCATAAAGCAATTGTGTTTGTAATCCTTATAGTAACAAATAGGCATCATTCCCTAATTATATAAATATTTTGACTTTTTAAATCTGTTTTTGGCAGATGTGCTAAAATAAGTATTCACTACAGTATTCCGTTATGGTGATTTGTAGGTGCGCTCAGGGAAAACACCAGTACAAGGTGTTAAGACTATGTTTCTACCCAAATTCAAATAAATGTACCCCACAGTATATGATAATCTTCAGGTATATGCCCTGGGACCACTCTATGAAATCTTCCAATCAATTGAAAAACAAAGCCCATGAAACAAAACAGGAATGAGTTTCTTGACCATGTGTGACACTTGGATATCACAGTTTAAAAATGCCTGGTTTTCCTGCATTTTTAGGTTTTTGCACAATTCTATGGGTAATAAATTCAACTTTGGTATGGAAAGTTCTATGCTCTTCTGATATAGAAAATACTTAAAATGATAGCTGATAACTTCAATATCATTACAAGGTACACCTTTCTAGAATTATAAAAGCATATTTTGTCACATCATTGGCTAAATTCATAAATCCTGAGAAGGGGGGAGGGGAATCTACTGTATGCATCTTAACTATGATCACTAAATAAAAGTAAGAATACTGACATGATAAATTTGTCTTAGTTTTAATGACAGGTTTATTCATATTCAAAAACTGAAATCTGTAATTTCGATTGAAGTCAAGGACTATGTCATTCCACTTTGCATTTCTAGCACCTGGTTCAATATATAATCAGAGCCTAGTAAGTTCTGACCATGATGAATGGTTTCTGTGTTCTAAGGTCTTCTACCTTTTCCTGCACATAGACTTACAATAAGAGTCCTGGTTCTACTGTATCAACTTGAGGGGAAGGAGTTACAATTTAAGTGCAAGATTTTTTTAAGGGGGGAGCGTAGTTTGGGCCATGAAATGTTCTGATGGACAATTGTTTGGTTAATATCCATAACTATCATCTTTACAGTCACCTGGCCTACACATAGTTGGGCTACATTAACGGGACCATTTACAAGATAGCACTTGCATTTTAAAGCCTTAAGCTATCATCTTTCGTATTATGAAATCAGGTACTACCAATTTAAAACATTTTCATCAAATTTAGGATGGTGTTTGGTTAAGGGGAGGGGATGCAGCCAGGCAGGGTTTACAGAGGGAGTCTCAACAGTTTTCTTTCTCAGTCTGGTTGGTGGGTACAAGGGTGCCCACTGTATTTTTCTCTTGTACCTCTTTGCATATCTTAAATGTTACATAATTCATTTTTAAAAGAAAAAAATAAAAACTAGATGTAGTATTCACAGCTTTACTTTGCTTCACATATTGGTAAATACTGGACCATTTATTTCTAAGTATACTTCACCAAGGGGGTAGAGAGAAATGTCTTTCATCACAGCAGATTTATGTGCTGAGAAAGCTTAAAGACAGTAAAAACCAACCTCTATACACTTTCCATGGTTCTTTATACCAAAAGAGTCTACATTATAAATTAAACATTACTTTTAATTGCAAGTGTTACTTTAGTAGAATACAACTGGTATAAGATCAGAGACAGCCAATACCTCGAAAGTAACTCTCCTGCTGAGTAACTTACCTCGATCTCCTGTAGCTGCTCCTGGTTGGTTGTGCACATCTGCTGAAGAGAGTCCTCTAACTCTGTGTTTCGATCTAGTAATGTCTTCCCAAGCTCAGCAGCAAGCTGGAGATCTAGCACAACAAGCAAATCTTATTAGGGTAGTGCAAATGATCTCAGTTCAACATTTTACATAAGACAGGGCCTAAAATAAGAATGAACCAAAACCCAACACAACGTATAAAGTTTAAGTCAGATCCCAATGGAAGATGGAATGGCACAGAAGGAAGCCAGATTCTACTTAAAGTTCAGTGACAGTGGGGCCTTTACCAGGTTCTGTACTCTCGATGTACCCTTACTGACAAGATGTCAAGAATAGTGATGTACTTTATGGAGGTGTATTCATTTGTTTAGGAATGATCATTCAGCACTGTGACATCAAGATCATAATTAGTTGCAAAGTACAGGCAAACCTAAATTCCCATGAATTTGGCTGCTATGAATGCAACTGTCAAAGCAAGAGTGTTACAGACCCTGGCCTCCTCAGTGTACTAAAAATTAAGTCAAAAAAAGGAAAATGACATCGGTGATAAGAATACTACCGCAGGTCTCTCTCATTTTTTCTATTTCTTTTCATTCCTTCTGCAAGATGAGCAAAGCAGCTAAGAAAAGCAGCGAACAGTTTGTGTGGTAACTCAGTCATAGCCCATACTTTCATTTAAGAATAAGAACCATATTTCCATTTTAAACCTCACTTTCCAACACTCTCTCTTCTTAGGCATATGTGCATGTATGACAGCATTACTTTGTTACACACAATCCCAGAAACAAAAATTCACAGACACAAAAAAGGACAATAGTTCTAACATAGGTAGCTGAAACACTTTTCTGCATTGTAAATTGGAGAGGTCCTTTGATAACAGTGGAAAATGCACTGAACTGAGTAGGAAAATCTGACTGCCATTTACCAAGTGAACACTTTAAATAGAGTGACTTTAAGCATCCCTACATCTAGTATTCTTGTGTAGAGAGATGACTGTCCTGTCAATATGATTGTGAAAATCAAATGAAATAATACACAAGGAAATACTTGATGAACTGAGCAGCAGTACGCAGGCAAAGTTATTATTAGTGTTCACTGATTCACAAGTGAATGACTTCGTTGCTGACTGCCATAGCGCAACCAAAGTATGAGCTATGGCGGAGTTATCGCACAAACTATACTGCTGCCTGTTGCTAGACACCATCCTAAGATCTGGCTAGAATGCTGAATAAACGGATTAAGTTCCTGCTTTCCTGACACTCCCATATTTACAGGGGAAGTCAGACAGCGAATAAGTAAATAAACTTGAAAACTGTGATAAACACTATTCATCCATACACATATGCATATATTCAATAATACCAGACATCATTCTGGGGATATACAAATGAACTCAGCTAACAAACTCCCTGCCCTCATGGAGCTTATACTCTCATGGGAGAAACAGCACGAAGAAACATACAATAGACAGCAAAAAATGCTTTTTTAAAAAAAAAGGGGGAAGGAATAGGGAAGGAAGGGTATGGATGTGGGAGGTTAAAATTTAAGAACAGGCAACAAGGGTGATATTTGACTCCAGATGTGAAGGACTGAGTAAGTGACTCACATAGACTCACATAGATGCACTGCGTGCGTCTGTGTGTATTTTGTGACTGGGGCAGCAGGAGACAAAGAGGGGTTCCAAGGATGGCCAGCTTGTTAAAGCCAAACGAAGGAGATCAAGATGCTGGTTTTCACTGAGGGAAATGGAACCATGGGAAGGCTTTTGACCAGCTCCACTCCGGCTGTTGGGTAAGCTGGCCGAAAGGGACTAAGGTGGTGGCAGGGTGACAGGGATACTGCAGTCACCTGGGTGAGCGATCGTGGTAGCTTAGACTAGAGTGGCGGAGATGGAGATGAGTAGAGGTGTCAAATACTGGATGTGTTTTGAAAGTAGAGCTAAATGGATTTGTTAATCAACTGGATGTGCTACGTGAGAGAGGAGAAAAAAAAACCTCCAGGTTTTATGATCAGGCACAAAGGATTTTCTATTTTAGAAAGGGAGGTCATGATGGAAGTCTCTCTTAGAAGACATTTTAGCTAAAGCTTGAGGGAGGAGGATCTTACCATATAAACGCCAGGAAGAGGCCCTAAGACGGGAAAGAAATTGGCACATTGTACGGACCAAAACGGCTCATAGTTTCATGTCTGAAATGCAGTACTTGGGTGCAATCTCAAAAACGACAAAATGATCTCTGTCCATTTCCAAGGCAAGCCATTCAACATCACAGTAATCCAAGTCTATGCCCCGGCCACTAATGCCAAAGAAGCTAAAGTTGAATGGTTCTGTGAAGACCTACAAGATCTTCTAGAACGAATACCAAAAAAAGATGCCCTTTTCATCACAGGGGACTGGAACACGAAAGTAGGAACTCAAGAGATAGCTGGAGTAACAGGCAAGTTTGGTCATGGAGTACAAAATGAAACAGGGGGAACGGCTAACAGAGTTGTGTCAAGAGAACACACTGGTCATAGCAAACTCTGTCTTAAAACAACACAAGAGATGACTTTACTCATGGACATCACTAGATGGTCAATACTGAAATCAGACTAATTATATTCTTTGCAGCCAAAGATGGAGAAGCTCTATGCAGTCAGCAAAATCAACACCAAGAGCTGACAGTGGCTCAGATCATGAACAATTATTGCCAAATTCAGATTTAAACTGAAGTAGGCAAAACCACTAGGCCATGCAGGTACGACTTAAATCACTTAGAGTTATACAATGGAAGTATACAATGCAAAAGTAGGAAATCAAGAGATACCTGGAGTAACAGGCATATTTGGCCTTGGAGTACAAAACAAAGCAGCTCAAAGGCTAACAGAGTTTTGCCAAGAGAATGCACTGGTCATAGCAAACACCCTCTTCCAACAACACAAGAGAAGCCTCCACTCACGGCCATCACCAGATAGTCTATACTGAAATCAGATTGATTATATTCTTTGCAGCCAAAGATGGAGAAGCTCTATACAGTCAGTAAAAACAAGACCAGGAGCTGACTGTGACTCAGGTCATGAACTCCTTATTGCCAAATTCAGACTAAAATTGAAGAAAGTAGGGAAAACCACTAGACCATTCAGGTATTACCTAAATCAAATCCCTTATGATTATATAGTGGAAGTGACAAGTAGTTTCAAGGGATTAGATCTGATAGAGTGCCTGAAGAACTATGGACAGAGGTTCGTGACATTGTACAGGAGGCAGTGATCAAGACCATCCCCAAGAAAAAGAAATGCAAAAAGGCAAAGTGGTTGTCTGAGGAGCCCTTACAAATAGCTGGGAAAAGAAGCAAAGCGAAAAGCAAAGGAGAAAAGGAAAGATATTCCCATTTGAATGCAGAGTTCCAAAGAATAGCAAGGAGAGATAAGAAAGCCTTCCTCAGTGATCAATGCAAAGAAATAGAGGAAAACAATAGAATGGGAAAGACTAGAAATCTCTTCAAGAAAATTAGACACCAAGGGAACATTTCATGCAAAGATGGGTTCAATAAAGGACCGAAATGGTATGGACCTAATAGAAGCACAGAAACAGAAGATATCAAGAAGAGGTGGCCAGAATACACAGAGGACTATACAAAAAAGACCTTCATGATCCAGATAACCACAATGGTGTGATCACTCACCTAGAGTCAGACATCTTGGAGTGTAAAGTCAAGTGGGTCTTAGGACACAGCACTATGAACAAAGCTAGTGGAGGTGATGGAGTTCCATTTGAGCTATTTCAAATCCTAAAAGATGATGCTGTAAAAGTGCTGCACTCAATATGCCAGCAAATTTGGAAAACTCAGCAGTGGCCACAGGACTGGAAAAGGTCAGTTTTCATTCCAATCCAAAAGAAAAGCAATGCCAAAGACTATTCAAACTACCGCACAATTGTACTCATCTCACACACTAGCAAAGTAATGCTCAAAATTCTCCAAGCCAGGCTTCAACAGTACGTGAACCATGAAATTCCGGATGTTCAAGCTGGATTTAGAAAAGGCAGAGGAACCAGGATCATATTGGCAACATACGCTGGATCATCGAAAAAGCTAGAGAGTTCCAGAAAAACAACTACTTTTGCTTTACTGACTATGCCAAAGCCTCTGACTGTGTAAATCACAACAAACTGTGAAAAATTCTTCAAGAGATGGGAATACCACACCACCTGACCTGCCTCTTGAGAAATCTGTATGCAGATCAAGAAGCAACAGTAGACTGGTTCCAAATCAGGAAAGGAGTATGTCAAGGCTGTATATTGTCACCCTGCTTATTTAGCTTATATGCAGAGTACATCATGAGAAATGCTGTACTGGATGAAGCACAAGCTGGAATCAAAATTGCTGGGAGAAATATCAATAACCTCAGATATGCAGACACCACCCTTATGACAGAAAGCGAAGAAGAACTAAAGAGCCTCTTGATGAAAGTGAAAGAGGAGAGTGAAAAAGTTGGCTTAAAACTCAACATTCAGAAAACTAAGATCATGGCATCCGGTCCCATCACTTCATGGCAAATAGATGGGGAGACAGTGAGAGACTATATTTAGGTTCCAAAATCACTGCAGATGGTGACCGCAGCCATGAAATTAAAAGACGCTGTTCCTTGGAAGAAAAGTTAAGACAAACCCAGACAGCATATTAAAAAGCAGAGACATTAGTTTGTCAACAAAGGTCCGTCTCGTCAAAGCTGTGGTTTTTCCAGTAGTCATGTATGCATGTGAGAGTTGGGCTATAAAGAAAGCTGAGCACCAAAGAATTGATGGTTTTGAACTACGGTGTTGGAGAAGACTCTTGAGAGTCCCTTGGACTGCAAGGAGATCCAACCAGTTCATTCTAAAGGAAACTAGTCCTGAATATTCAATAGAAGGACTGGTGCTGAAGCTGAAACTCCAATACTTCGGCCACCTGATGCGAAGAACTGACTCATTTGAAAAGACCCTGATGTTGGGAAAGATTGAAGGTGGGAGGAGAAGGGGATGACAGAGGATGAGATGGTTGGATGGCATCACCGACACGATGGACATGAGTTTGAGCCAGCTTCGGGAGTTGGTGATGGACAGGGAGGCCTGGC